TCTTGCCAATTGACACATAAGGACTTCTGAATTCCTACACTATGAGTTCGCTCTTTCTGCCCCTCACTGTCAATTTCTAGTACACTAGAATCTTCTACCAAGATCTGGAGGAATTTTTGGAGTCTAACTAGAACATTCAGCCTCCATTGTTGAGACATCATTCTGCGGCTAGGATTAACAGAAATCATCCAACTTATTTTATCTCTACTTTTCTGCTGTGTTGACAATTGCTGATGAGAAATAAGTTCCACAAAGTTATTCAGTAATACAGTACTGCGATCCCTCAGGAGAGTAGGGTATTCCTTCAAAAAAATATCCAATACCTTCAGAGAATCTTCCTGAATTTCTTCACTGATGTGAGTCATGGCACTAGAAAGATGAGCACTCATTAAAGGGAAGAATGGAGAAATATGTTCAGCTCGTATTTTGGGAGCCAGGAATTGAAGAAGGCAGACTGCTGCTTTTCGCACACTAGACTCCTTGTCTGTAAACACAGCGGCTAACTCACTCAGTATATTTGAAAGGTGAGCATCAATTATGAATGGATACTGAGACAGCAGGTCCTTGAGTCCAAAAAGTGCACTTTGTTTAACTCCTGCACTATAATGATTCATCTGTGAAAGCAGATCCTAAAATATAACATAAAACATTTCTGTTAATACTCTTTGCATTGTAAAATGTTTTAGAATTTAGATACATCACATTATATATTCTTAAAAGTATATTTTTTAAAAAATTGGTAGTGAGATAAATTGATTGAAAATTGTAATATAAAGAGCTGAGCGTGATATGCAGGATATAACTGACATAAAGCAGAGAAAGCTATAATTTATAACAGACAATATACTATGGTGACTAAAAATTACCCCCGTCATTCTAACTATAGCATTGTTGTTCAACTAAAATTAAAATGAAAAAACATGGAACACTTATTAAATTATACAGAGATCTGGATTATATATGGAAATCAAAAATTTATTAGATTACATAGAAATCTGGACTATATATGGAAAAATACTCTTTTCCATGTCTGGTAAAATTCTTAGTTTTAGAAATTAACAGAAAAGTTAATTTCTGTTAAAAATGGCCTGAAACTAATTACAACAGAGTACTCAAACTTTTGTTTTTACCTTTATATTAAGCTTTCTATTATTGGTTGGAAGTATACTACCCTGTCTCAGCTGCTCAGGAAGATGTATAGTCTTTGTTCTGAAATTTGTGTCAGTTGCATTTTCTAGTCGAGGCTTCTTTTTCCCAACTTTTAATTTCAGTTTATGAAAATCTTCTTGATGTTTTCTCTTTTTAGTCATTTTGAAATTCTGCAAAAAAAAAAAGTGAATATTTTCTCAGAGAGAAAAAAATTATTTGCAATTGCACTGATAAAGTAAAATATTCATTGCGATATTGCATTTAAAACTCAATAGTCAAAATCTCTTAGTTCATATCAAATCTAAATTAAGGACAAAATTTATTGTACCTTATCCATTCCCTAACATAAGCTACCTGAGTATCCATGAACAAGGCTATCTTCTTTTAAGAAAAACTTCTTTTAAGAAAAGAATTAAAATATATTGCATTTGGATGTCATACTAAAGATTCTAGCAGGAAAAACATATTTTTTATTTTAATCCAATTTTCATTATAAAAATTAAGTTAACACACAGGACAATTAAAAATAATTTTGCATTAGCATAACGTAAATTTATATTACATTTACATACATAAATCTAAAATTCTTTATTAAAATCATAATACAGTATAAAATCCAAGATGCACGACAAGATATATAAGGCACAGAGATACTGATTTTAATTATGTCTGGATGAACACTATTTCATAAAGTGAAAGATGGTTGAAAGAAAGTATTGAAAACAGACATATTCATTATCACTAGTAATTTACAGATATAATAGAACTAGATAGAAGATCTATGTCTAACTAATTTTCTTATTCTAATATTCTGCTCAAAACTAGAATCAGTTCTTAACTGCTGTGGGGGAAAACCTGATAATGTTACTATGTCATGGTTAAAACTGACCTATTTAACATACATAATAAATATGATATTCCAAAGGCTTATCTGCTGGAAACAGTAAACACTTTAAATGTGAAGACTACTGAAATGGTATTCTGCCTTCCAGCATTTTCTGCATGAATGGAAAAATTGTTATTTAATTCATTTTAAATTAAAAAAAATTGAGTCCAAGGAGCGCCCCCCCCCCATGAATCAACAAGAATACCCTAAAAACCATCCTAAAACGTAAACTTGATGAAAAATCTAAATTTAAACTCAGATACGGAAATTCTCATCGGCTAAATATCCACCATGTTTAAATACTCTTTTTAACAGGACTGCCGTGGCCTACCGCCCGAAAAACACCTAACTGGTTAGCAGGGACCTCTCGTGTCCGAAGAATCCAAAGATTTATTATTTTGCAGAGCTGCTCCTAAACTACCGAAATCCCACCCGGCGGCAGTCAAACGGGGGCAGGAAACTGGAGGAAGAGGTCCTCAACAACAGGATCTCGGTCAGAAAAGCCCTTGGGAGCCCCCGAGGCACGGGAAGAGTTGGGCTCCGTTTATAAATGACCTTCTGGCTTTCCAGGCAAAGTTTGCTCCTCGGTCTAGTTTTCCTCTTTCCCGAACCTCCCGCAAAGATACTCACCCACCCAGTTCCGATCAACCAAACAACCTACTGGCGGCCACGATAACTGGCTTCGAGATTTCTTCCCGAGTCGAAGTCGAAATCCCGCATCCGGTCACATTTTCCGGAAATCGCTGTAACGTTTTCTCGTCAACGCGGCTCGCAGCAGTTCGCGATTGTGTTGTCGAAACTGGAGGTTCCTGCGATTGAGCGGAAAGGGAATGGAAAGGAACAGGGAAGGAGCTTCCGCTCAGCAGGAGCAGAAGAATAGCAGAATAATTGACATGGGAAGTGTACAGTTACACCAAACAGATTTTGAAATTGCGGTCAAGCCTCCTCTAGGTTAATATTTCCCAAACTCGGCACACCTCTTAAAATTGGGACAGCAAAGCTAAGGAAAAGGTTTCTTCATAACCTCATTCAAGAATGTAATAAGGCTACATAACGACTACATAACGACCTAATGGGGCTTCGTAGCATCAGTACTAGCATGCAATCATAATTGTTGCATTCCAGTCACGTGAAACCGCCTTCAAATCAAGAATATAATGTGTGTGTTTCTAGTCATAACAATCATGGGTCTTTGGTCTACTAAAATGTAACATGATTTTTAAATAGGTTTCATCTGAAATTATTGTCAGTTTCAGACTACCCTTGTCAAATTACAGAACAAGCAAAAATATACAGCCAATGTGATGCAAAAATACGCAACAATGGCATTTTCATGGATTCAGAAGAAAGCAGAAACTGCACAATATGTCACATCATGAATAAAGGCAAATATACCTGTCCCAGGATAACCTTGGAGGGTCGAATCCGGGTTGGTCACTGGGAGCAGAAGTTTAGTTTTCCAAGCTTTCAGACTCTTGCTGAAGCACATCCTTAGGGAATGTCTCTCTACCGGAATGTGTGCTTTGAGCTATTCAATAGGTAGTATTTATGTGGTGCCTGGTATGTGGCTTTTTAATTGTTGATTGGGGTGCTGATGGACAGCTATTAAATCTTTGGCTGTTGTGCACTTATCCAGATTTCATCTTGGAATATGTCACAACATACAAATAACATATAGGTAGTCCTTGCCTTATGTCCATTCATTCAGGGACCATTCAAAATTATTGTGACATTGAAAAAAATGGACTTATGACTATTCTGGGAAGATTCAGCATCTCAGCCCCCTCAGTCATGTGATCGCAAACTGATACTTAGGTTCCACCTTGCACTTATAAAGTTGTAGCAAGCCAGTCATTTGATCACCATATGTGACCTTCTCAGCTGACTTCCCACAAGAGTCAATGGGGAAGCAGGTCAAGAATATCACAAATTCTTCTAATAAGTTGCTCGAATTGCTTTTTCTCCTGAGGAGCCTGTTCTTCCATACCACCCTCTCTGTAGTGTAGACATTTACACTTTGTAGTGAGGCCACTCCAAACTCTCCCAAAACTTCTTTGACCCATCCACAATGTCTGCTAGCCTGCCTATGCCTTGTATCAGCTGGTCACTACAATCTCCATTCCCCAAGAGCACCCTCCATCACTCACTTCCGCTACACCCGCATTCCTTGCCTGGGATTCCACTTCTTCCTGTTTAATGACTTTTGTTGTCCTGGGATTATGATGGCGACCAGAATTGCTGTTGCTAAGTGATGCAGTCATTTTATATCATGTTTTACAACCATATCATTTAGAGACAGCAATTCCAAACCCAATTACTGTTGCAATCTGAGGACCAATTGTATCAATTATGCATCCAGAAACTTTACATGATGGAAAGGGATAACTTTAAGCGCTTGTTGCTCTTTGAACCTGATGGCTTTCTTGCAGTGTTTCATTACTAAACTAAGTAACATCATCAGTAGGGTTTGTTCATATTTTTATATACTAGTGGCTTGCCCTGTCAGCATTGGTAGGAGTGTTCTTGGTGGTTCCTTAGTTCTGCTACGCAGTTTATTAGAGATTTGTATCTGACACTACTGGGCAGGACATGTTGTCATAGGTATTCATGCAGAAAGAATAATTGTTCCTTGATGGAACAGTGCCTACATGCAAATTTCTCCCATTTATGCTTTATGAAGTGTTTGATTTTCATATGTGGTATTTACAGAAAAAATATTTACAGGTCAGAGTTGAACTGTGGGGTCCTTGGGGCTCTCTGAATTTGGTGGTTTTCTTGCAGATGCTTCGTTAACAAACTAGGAAATTAACAAACAAATGAATTTCTTATTTATAAACTGGATTACATCACAGCATGACTCAAAAATATATATGAGACACAGAATAAGTTTAGAAATATAATTGTTTTAAACCTGTATGATTGTCTTGATCAGAGACGTATACCAAATACATGCATAAGGAAAATGTAATATTTTTTCAAAGTCTGACTTTATTTAATTGAATTTAAGTAACCACCTATCTGACATATGTGACTATGTATGGCACACACAATTAAAAATGTCAAAACAATTAACAATTAAAAACTAAAATACAATTTAAACAATTTATAAATAACACAAAAATCACAGGAGAGTGGATTCCAAAAGTTACAAAAAGTATAACCATTTCACAGTATTTAGTATTCTCAACCATTACATACTTCTAGAATTCCTCACTAGATTAAAATACAGCATGATAATGATTCTAATAATTTTGTGATTAATAATCAGAATGTGCTGTAACAAATGAGATGTACTTATGAATGAATTCTTTAGGATTTTTTTGTCCTCTCCAATTTTAATATGGACCTCAGCAGACAAAATTATTTTGAGGTATTCCACCAGTGTATCAATGGTACACAGCTCTACCTCCATCTTCAAACTTTTGAGCTGAATAAATTATCAGAAATCCTAAATAAGACAGATCTACCAAGATACTCCTGTCAAATGTGCACAAAAGAGCATTAATTAAGCCATTCTCGAGACTGTTGTCTTCATTTCCCTCTGCCTGCTTCCTTTTCTACTGACAAAAATGTTTTTCAAGGCAATGAAAGCAATAAGAACCACGTCATATATTCATGTTAAGAAAGTGACTAGATTATATAGGAATATGATATTTGCTGATAAAATGAAGTTGTAAAAGTAATGGAAAATGGAACTTACAAAAACATTTCATTGCAGTATAGTTGGTGAGAGCTTCATACTTCATAACTGAGTAGAATAACAATTCAATTGGAAAGAAAAGTTAACACTGATGCCTGACACATAACAAGGGTATCATACTATTGTCTGCATCTTATATAATTGGCTTGTGGCAACTATGATTTGAATGAAAAGTAAACTGAATGAAACTTAAAATTTAGTTAAGATGAAAGTATGGTTCATCTTGAGCCGATAACTGTTAGGCCAGTTGAAGAAAGGCAGTGACAAACTACTTCTGAAAATGTTATCAAGAAAACTGAAAAACTTGTCTAGCCAATTGCCAGGAGTCAAGGTACTTCTCCCCCCTCCCCCATATCTAGGTTTGGCAGCACAGTACCATTAGATTATTTTTAATCTGTTACTAGGGGTGAAAAATCTCAGTTGCTAGGGAAAAAATGAACAGTTTCATCCTTATATCATGTTTTGAACTTCTCAGAAACATTTGCTATGCAATGCAGAATGCTGTAATAAAACTTCAGCCCAATCTAGCAACACACTTTTAATGGGGTGTTTTTGTAATTTATTTATATATTTTTTCTTTACATACAATGAGAGCTTGCTGAATAGCATACTGTCTGAGTCAATTCGCTTACATAGTAATACTTTTTAACACCCTAGTTTCTACCTCTGTTATCCAATCATAGATAAAACAAGTCCCAAGTTCGAAAATACTGTGTCTTCTTTTTCTTTTATCTTCAGTGTTAATCTGTCAATTTCTGCAGTCTAATAGTTTTTTTATTATATCTTCTTCTGTAGGTGTTTCCTCATTTTTCCAGCAAATACAATTCTTGCTGCTGTCAAAACATGTAATATCAAATATACAAATAATTTGATTTTTAATTATTCTTAAGTGGGCTTCACTAAGCAATAAAAAGTACACATACCAATAACGTAACTTAATGAGAGAGAAAAAGGAAACTTCTACTAGAAACAAAACCATTCATATCCCTAGTTATCTAAGAATATGTGCATGAAGAAACAGACAAATAACAAGGGACATCTTTTGAAATTGACATATAAAGCTTTGGAAAATCACAGCTGCTTTAGCTAGTGAAGAAGTGTTTCATTCTTATTAAAACATGTTGCAATGCACTTCTTTTAAATGTTTTGACAACCCAAATTCCCAGTTATACAGTAATACATTTAAAATGATTATTTAAAAAAAAAAAAACAAATATCTTGATTTGTAAAACAGGACATTCAAGCTTGTTAAATTAGTGTATAAACAATTTAGTCCTCCAGCTGAAAATACGGTGTTTACACATATACCGATTATCATAAAATGTAACAATTGATGCTACAGACCCCTACATCCTGGACATAAATTGTTTCAACTTCTACCTTCAAAATGATGCTATAGGGCAGGGGTCTCCAATCTTGGCAACTTTAAGACTTGTGGACTCAGCAAAACTGGCTGGGGAATTCTAGGAGTTCAAGTCCACAAGTCTTAAAGCTGCCAAGATTGGAGATCCCTGCTATAGGGCACTGCACACCAGAACAACTAGACAAGAATGCCATCACTCTGCTAAAGAACTAATTCCCACAACATTATCAGACTATTTACTAAGACTGTATTACTACTATTCTTCTCATTCTATTACCTATCTCCTCCCACTTATGACTATAAACATGTTGCTTGTATTTTTACGATTTATATTGTTGTTTCCTAGTACGATTTATTGCTTATTAGTAACTTATGACTGTCACTCAGTGTTGTATCTTATGATTCTTGATGAATTTTTTTCCCCTTTTTTCTTTTTTTCCCCTTTTATGTACTCTGAGAGCATATGCACCAAAGGCAAATTCCTTGTGTATCCAATCACACTTGACCAATAAAGAATTGAATTTTATTCTATTCTATTTTATTTGGAGATATTTCTTTGTTAATGTTAGCTAAATAAAGTTTCCACCTTTAGAAGTGCTATATTTCTGAAAGTCAGCTTCTAAACTCACAATAATTCTTGTCTGAATGTGCACTACGGAGGAAAGATTAATAGACGCTTGAGCTCAGTTTGAATTGTGCAGTCTTTGGCTCTCTCTGAGTTGGCTGGTTGTTTGCAGATGTTTTGTTACAGATAATATCTTCAATACTCGGTAGTTAAGATTACCTAATCAGGTAACGCAACATTTGCAAGGAAACAACCAACCTCAGAGAGCACGAGAGAAAGAGTGACAGCTGAAGGCAGTAGGACGCACTCTATCCAAGTCCTTCAATGAACCGCAGGTAACGGGACGAACGTAAACGAAGGTCCTGATTGTAAACCCAAACCCCGCCGGCTCTGCTTCAAAAACATCCCATAGGCTGCCGTCCGCCAGTCACCGAAAGACTTGCGCACGCGCAAATTGGCTCTTCCTACTTTTGTCGGAATAATTACCATCAGTTAGACGGAAAACCCTAACTGGATAACCAGGAGAGGGAACGGCATTACACGTTTATGTTTTATTGTTCTAACGAAGGCTGGTGGTGTAATCAAACTAATAAGGAAAAGGAAGCAAATCGCCTTCTTTTTGCTCATAATTACATACACTTGGATTTGCTCCTCACTTTAGTGCGCAGGGGATTGCAGATTTTTGCTAAACAGTCGGTCTTCCCTACGCTGTCCCACCGTGTCGGAATTTGAGAAGAGCAGGAAAGGGGGGCTAATAGTGTGACTGTGGGAGGGACAAAGAGGTCTAGCCTTCCACCCCAGTTTCGAAGCGGGAGCAGAAAATAAAGGCCGGTAATGGTGGTGCATTAATAACTAAAGATTGCTATTGTCTTTCAAATCTAAGACGCTGGCGTTGCAATTGCAGAACATTTTTTTTCTTTCTGTCCCCTTACTGTTTTTTCGGAAGTAGTGATAACAGCAACCACTACAAGACCATTCTGTTTGGATCCACCTTACGTCCCTTTATTTCTAAATCTACGACCGCTAATGTGCATGTAAATTGCTGGCCCGTTTTTTTGTCAGGCTAACATCTTTGCTTTCTTTTATCTAAACCAAGAAGAGGATATCGGCAGCATCGAGGAGAAAGGAAGGGGAAATCTGAGAAGGCCTTTATGCACAGAAGCCTGGTAACATACATGCATCTATATTTGTGTTTATTTAGAAGAAAAAAACGTTTCAGAGAAGCACTTTGAAATCCTCTCTCCTCCATTATTATTTGCCTTAGGCCATGCTTAAAATGTTTTATAGATAGACGCAGATTTTTTTCTTTACTGTTCTCAACAGTAAATCTGTCAGAAATCACAAAATCTCAGTATCTAGGAGTAAGCCTCAATGAACAAAGTTGGGTACCATTGAATAAATATGTTGCTAACGTTATTTAATGTAAGCAAGATTAGATGCAGTTTTCTGAAAATGAAAATAAATAGAATACTTTATAAATCAGTTTTAATTAGTTGCTTTGGTTCCAAAATTAGAACTACGATTTTAAAAGAACTTGCTTTTTTTCCACGAATTTTTTAATACACGGTAAAACACTGTGATCTTAGAAAACATCCAGGCAGATAGTGTTAAGACAGATTTACCCTTTAATAAAATCTCTAGTAAAACCTTGATTTTGTATTTTTGCATGTGGTTTTTTGCAATTTTTGGCGAAGTTTGGATGCAATCAACTTTCACAAGTTATACAATCGTTTTTCTGGAAGTAAATAATAGATTGTACTTATACTTTACTTACAAATGTACATTTTTCTCTTGATTTTGCTTGGTTCCATTGACAATACAGTCAATTTTTTCAGATCTTACACGTGGGGGGGGGTGTATGCATATCCCAAGATAGTGCCCAAGAAGTTATAAGGGTTCTTCATGACTCACCTTTAGATACTATCTGTCTCCAAAACTGAGTCAGTTGGAAGGACCTCAAAGGGGGTATGGCAGAATGGGTAATCAATGTACTAACAATTTTGATCTGCTTGAGAGTTGGCGTCTAGACTTGTTAATTTTAAAAAAGAAGGGAAGAAAAATAAATAATGCTTAATTTTGCCTCTGTTCTGTTAAACTGTTAGTTTTTCAGGGCATTTGGAGATATCCCTTATTCTGGGCTTAGTATGATCTGCTATATTATGAACTCAAACATATTAAGTAGAAGATTGATTTAACGATATTAAAAACTATTACTAAGAATATTTGTTTACCTTAAATGTGCCTTTATTTGAGGTCATTATTCCAACAGCTAGGGTCTACATGACAAAACATATAGAGTAGGCTCCTCGCTGTGAGCCTATAATGAGCAAATAACTGTTCCTACCCCAACAGCAGCTAAATATCTTTCACCTGTTTCTCTGAACATTACTGTTACCAAAGTTCTTGATCTGTTTTGCTGATGATATATTGATTGGAGTACAGTATCCAAACACAGTAATGACTTTTCTGTAAGTCAGTTTATTTTAATGCTCCTGTCAATCAGTTATTTTGTTCAGTTTCCTACTTCAACTAGAAAGCTTAGTTTCATTCAGTAATCTTCATTTTGGGCAGGAAGGAGGTTTGCCTATTGAAGACGACAGCATAAAAGATTAATCTTATATTTGTAAGTTCTCCAGTATTTTTAATTACAGTTTTTATGTTGCTTAAATGTCAGAAAGAATTGGAATATAAATAAATACATTTGATTACAACTTGTTAGGAAATTCTTTGGGGAGTTCAGGAAGAATCATAAAACATCTACCTGAGAAAAATTTTTAATCCATAGTTTATGTTATTGAAATTTGATTCTCCTAAATTTCAAGTGATACCAGGGATCCAGAAAAGGAAAATATGTTTGACTCAGCTGATGATTGAATATAAAAGCAAATATTCTGCAGACCAAATATTCGTCACTTACTCATGCTAATCTGTCTCCTATAACTGCGTCTTAACTTATGATGTAAATTTAAATTCGCAGACTTTTATTTTATTTTATATTCTCAATTTTATACTCCTCTAGTTTTCATAGTGATACTAATATCTTATAAAAGTGAGGAATATAGTAACAATGCAGAGTCTATATTCTCATCTCACCTTTTATATTTTATTTTTCTGTCCGTAAAATATTTGTCCAGGAGAATTTAAAAAATATAATATATTTTTGGATAGCTCTGACTTATTGCTCAAAATTCTTTTTTCTTCTCCTTTTATTGAAACAAAATCAAATAATGACAATGTGTCATCAGTCCATTGCTGCAAATTTAGTATACATTTCTCCTTCCAATATTGCATAATTTTTATCAACCGCCATGCCTCAGTTCTTGATGCCTTGGTAGATTCCAAATTCTAAGAGTAACAATGCAAAAGAAGAAGAAGTGATTGTTCTTACATAATTGTTGTGAATGAATAAATATTAGCAGACTTACTGATTGCAGTCCACCATATGGCAATAAAGGGACAATAAATCCATATGAGTTAATATTCCAAATGTTTTCCAATAAAAATATGAATTCAGCCAACCCTTATTAAACAGATTCTAGGATCAGTGATTAAAAATTATGGTGTTTCCTATGTGGAACAGAGTATTCTAGTTAAGGAAAGAGCACTGAAAATAGTGATCTATGTCTTCTGTGCATAGAACACATTGAGCCAATATTCTGTGTTTATATCAGAAAAAACATGTCAACCCTAGGATAAATAACTCTCAGTAAGTTGAACCAAACGTTCCAATCAAATGAGATGACAATAAGATGTGACTTTGACTATAGGAAACTTCTTCCCCCCTTATGGACTTCTTGTGTAAAACAGAAAAAATGAACTTAATCTATAGTTTTCACAAATAGGCTAGATATAGAAAGAAGAGACTCATGAGGTAACTTTAGAGAAAGAGGTAAATGTACAATTGTTCTCATAACCACTTTTAAGGAAAATTGGAAGCCACTTTATATTTTCTATTCTTTTCTTCTTTTTTACCCTTTAGGATTCTCTTTTATATATTTTTCTTTTTGCCTTCATACTCTGATTTAGTTTATCTTTCCTCTTGTCTTGTTTTTAAAATTTTCAATAAAATTATATTTAAAAAAGACTATAGGGATCATCCCTCTCAAACACATGTATACACACATACAAATTAAGTTTACTTTATTGTCACTGTACCTCGTATAACGAAATTAAATGCCATCTTCAATGTACATTATAATTATAAAAATAAAACACAAACACACATCTTTCACATTCTAAACAATTGAATTGAAAACCTGAATTGATATTGCATTGATATTGCATTAGTATTGCACTAGAAACACTAGTTGCCATATAGTCTGCCATTTACAACAGATTCCTGAGGAAATAAATTATGCCTCAATCAAAAGTGATATCCCAATTCAGAAAAATAATGTTTTGATAATAATTATGCTTTTTCTGTTGTGGTTCTTGCCTTGTGATTTGATGCCATTCTGAAACTTTACTAACTCCAATCCTGTTAGCATTCAAGAAAGTTTTGAAGACTTGGTTATTCTCCTGGGGATTGGGGCTAGGCTATTAGCTTGGAGGCATAACTCTGATTGTTTTTTCTTTTTTTGTACACTAGGTAGAATCACAGTTATGAATTGGCCAGTCATATAATTCATTTTAATAAGGCTGGAAATGGTTACAAATCACAGCCAAAATCTTTGGCCTCCTTTAATCCACAATCAGGCAGACAATGTATAAATGAAGAAAAGGCAAGCTAATTGTTACACTTCCTAAAAATGGTAATGCAACAAAAATCACCCAAGTGCAAGGTATGCAGTAGTGTGGGAGGCTGCAGTATAGAAACTTAGAATAATGGCAAAAGATCTGCAGACTATCTAATATGAGTATTCATGAGTGCATTACAAAGAGAATATCAAACAAGAATTGAATAATACCAGGGAGAAAAATGCTCAATATTGCCACCATCTTCAGTTTGCGAAGAACCACCAGAATGACCTAGAAATTTTTATGATTGAAATAAAACCAGAGTTTTATGGCATGGATAAGAAACTATGAACAAGCTAAAACACTATGTTCAAGGAAAAGAACAGCATCCCACTATGAAGCATGCTGATGGAAATATCATAGTTGAGGGCTACTTTGCAGACTGAGCAGTTGGAGGAACAATGGAGTCTGGATTGTACTGAAAATTCTAAAAGTGAAAGTGAAAGTCAGAGTATTCCTCTAGCATGGAGCCTAAATGAACATGAGTCATGCACCATGACAGTGATCCTGAACATACAAAGATGAATCAGAAGAAATTTTATATTTTGGACTAGCCAAGTCAAAATCAAGTCAAAGCTCTTAACCCAAGTGAAATATTGTAATTAAATAGAAGTTCATGCAAGACTACCCCAAAACATCAATAAACTGAAGCAGTTCTCTAAAGAGGATAACAATATGCCAAACAATTATGCAAAATTGATCCATAGGTACGGGAAATGTTTGGCTGAAATTATTGCTGCTCTGGTTTTACATAATTTTTGCAACAAAGTGAAGTCTTAAAATATTCCTACTATCCCATGTCTGAAGAATATTGGAGAGGCAGAGCATGGAAGAAAAAGTTCTGGTAAGATGGACAACTGTATCTGGACTTGACTAGGTAGGATTTTGCACCTATAGTGGTAATGATAATGTTAACACCACGGCAAGACATACGGAAGATTGGGTGAGAAATCTTTTTGTGCCATGATAGTGCTTTCTAGCAGAACTATGCCTTTCCAATGACAACCCAGGGATTAAATTATAAAGAGGAAAAATTATTTCCTATTCATTTGCAATGTATAAATGGTAATGATGGGGCCTAGGAAGAATAAGCAGTCTCCCTGTCATTTATGTGAGTTTTTATAGTTGGAGTCAAGCATCAGAAGATTGCATCTTCTACTATGCTAAAAAAATTCGTCATTCAAAACGATCATTCAGAGTAGAACATATTCTATTTTTGATAGCTTTAGGCCATCCTTTCTCTCTCTCCCTGTATCTATCTATCTATCTATCTATCTATCTATCTATCTATCTATCTATTAGCCTGCCATTTACTCATTTATACCTTGTGATATCTTGTTATATTTTAAATCATGGGGTTTGCTGTTGCTTCAGAGCACTGTTTGCCTTGTACATGTAGTCCTTGACTTACAACCACAACTGAGCCCAGAATGTATGTTGCTAAGTAAGACATTTGTTAATAGTTTTGTCCCATTTTATAACTTTTCTTGCCACAGTTGTTAAGTGAATCATAGTTGTTAAATTAGTAACTCGGTTGTTAAACAAATCTGGCTTCCCCATTGACTTTGCTTATTAGAAGGTTGCAGAAAGGAATCACATGGCCCAGGACACTGCAACTGTCATAAATATGAACCAGTTGCTAAGTATCTGAATTTTGATCACATGATCATGGGGATGCTGCAACAGTCATAAGTGTGAAAAATGGTCATAAGTCACTTTATCCAGTGCTGTTGTAACTTTGAATGATCACTAAACGAACTGTTGTAAATCGAGGACTACCTGTATTGCCAGCAGATGCAAGAATGCCTGCTGATTCCTTTTTTGCCATGTCAATCCTCTTTATTAGTGTATAATATAAAATACAAAAATACAAAAGCAAATAAGATAAATAGGGGAGAGAAAAGGGAAGAGAAAAGTGTAGAGAAGGGAAAAAAGAAAGAAAATGCATTGATTTCCAACTCCCTTTGGTGCACTACCCTGTTTCCCCCCAAACAAGACATCCCCTGATAATAAGCCCAATCAGGCTTTTGAGTGCATGGCAGTAAGGGCAAACGCTTATTTCAGGGTTCAAAAAAATGTAAGACAGGGTCTTATTTTCAGGGAAACACGGTAGAATAAGAAGAAACACTGAATCTCAACTTTTTACTTTAAATAGTAGTATAAATTAGCCTTTTCTACAACAATAGATTTATCTAATCAATAAAATCCAAAATCAAAGTTTCATTTTTTTTCCACCTCAAGCACAAAGTCCAAAAGTGGTTTCCAAGTAGAAACAAAAGTAGTTGTGTTTTTTTCTTTTATAAAAGCAGTCAATTTAGCCATCTCTGTTAGCTCCTGTCAGTTTTTGCAACCATTCATCCATTGTGGGGATTGAAGCATCCTTGCATTTTTGTGCATAAAGTAATCTTGCTACCGTCAACATATATAACATCAATGTTCCAATTTTTTTCCAAATTTTTTTTCATTAAACCACCCCCCAAAAAATATTCACTTTGAGAATCTTCTGTATTAGAATATGAATCCTACTCTAATATTTCTTTGATTTATCAGATGTCAACTACAAATGATAAAAAGTCCCTTCTTTACATTTGCATTTCCAGCATGAATTTGAAATACCTTTATATATTCTTGATAACATGTCTCAAATACCAACTATCAATACATCAATTTATAAAATTTTCTTTTAAATTGTAATTTAATGTATATTTTAAACCTCTAATCCACATATTCGCCCATTGTTCAAGCTTTACATTATATCAAAAGTTCCTTGCCCACCGAATCATACAATGCATTACATATTCACTTTCCAAATTCAAATTCAATAACATTTTATAGACCTTAGCAATAATATGTTCATCACTACCACACAGTAATATTTCCAATACATTTTAAACGAAGTCAAATGCATAACTCTTTGTCTGATTTAAATCTTTCAAGTGTAAGTATGTAAACCAGTGGCAGACATGTCCTTCCGATTCTAGCTCGTAGACTTGAGGATATGATCACCAGAATTAAAAGATATTATTTTACCGTAAATCCACCAATCCGGCTTCACCACATTTCTTTTCTAAGAAAAGCTTCCTGGGGGGACACCCAAAGAGCCATCTTCATAGAAAGCCTTGTTTTATATTTATTCCAAACTCTTAGAATGGCATGTGTAACAAAGTAATTGTTGAAATCAACATTTATTTTAACCTTCTCATGCCATAGATAACCTTGCCATACAAATCTTAATTCATTGCCTTCTAAATTGGGTGTCAAATTCAATTTCATTGTGGGCCGCATCACATTATGGTTGCCTTCAAAAGGCCAGTAGTGGAGTCACCACGACCACATGGGCATGGCTGAGTGGGCATGGCCAGTTCGACGCCACTCACTGGGCGTATCTGATTCAGGACAGCTGGGTTGGGACGGAACAAATTGGATAACTTGACGTCGGGACAATTTGGTGCCCTACAAGCTCTTTACCTCCCCAAACTGCTTGCAGCCAAGTGTGCACTTGTGCAGACACACACATACAAACTGCATTCCAAGTTTAGGGACTTTTATCCACAGAGGAAGGAGAGGGCCTTCTCCCCATGCCCAGGCATGATTAGCAGTTTTTAAGCTCAGATGTGGATAAAAGTCTCTAAGCTTGGAATGGTCTGGGTGTGTGTGCATGTGCACAGCATGCAAAGATGTTCTTCTCCCAATCCCAGACATGATTGGCATTTCTCTGGTGCCCCCTCCCAGCAAAGCAGGGACAGTGTTGCTCTGTGTGGAAGCACAGTGGAGAACGTTTGCAGGAAGCAGAATCCAACTTCTGCCTTGACAGATCTCCGGAGAGCAAGAGGAGGAGGCAGGGGAGCAGAGTTCCCTCATCCTGCACAAGGGAGGCTGGCCCCTCTCAAAAGGAAATCCCATTTCAAATTGTGTATGATAAGGATGGTGGCTTGTTGGGACAGCCTTCCCTCATGCAGTTCCCCTACTACCCCCTCTACTTCTCCAGAGATCTGCAGGGGAGACACATCTGGAGGGCAAGGCATAGCTCCATATTGGCCACTTCTATCTCTCCAAGCACCCCCCCCCCACCCCGATTAAACATACATTATATAAATTAAAACACAGCCAAAAAGAAAACATAGTTAAAGCACTAATTACAGCTCTTCACATATTTTCTGGAAAAATCACCTTTATGTTAGGAAGAAAGAGCAAACTTTATTAAGGAACTCTTAACAGGGCCGGTTAGTTTGCAGCCAGGTGTTCGGTACAGACCTTGCCAATGTAATTTTAATAGCCCAGGAAGGGATAGAAAAACCAAGGAAAACTTGGAAATCAAAAAACCGTGGTGAACTACGCTTGTTTTGCCCTATGTTGATTCTCCTCCCCAGCAGCAGCACATCTGTTTTAGAAGTGCATGGCCACAAAGATCAGCCTTCAGCCTCCTGATCTCTGCTGATAGAGAAATCCTCTTGCATTTTGGCACGTCAGGCCATATATCTGCAACCAAAGAAAAAAACCCAAATGTGATGGGCCAGAGGGCAGCCCAGCCACCGTGCCCCTCCCATTCCTTCTCAGCCCCTGTGCCCAGATGCAGTTGCTGCTCCTCGCCATAGCCAGGGCTGGACTTGCAATTACATCCATTAACTTCATCCTGCAAGGTGGAGCTCAGCCAGCACCCTTGTCCACTGCCATGCCGGGAGCCCTGACTAAAGGCTGAGTACTCCAGCCTTGCCCTACCGGGAGGGGGGGGAAGCTGAGGATACACCATGTCTCTCCAGCTGAGGTTCATTTGGTGACCCCTTCCCCATCCCCAGTGAGTCTGAGTTACTTGTTGTGGATTTTGTCACTCACTGTCACTCACTTTGTCACTGTCCCAATTTTATTCTGGAATTTCGGGATTGGAAATTGGAGGGGCAGTGCCATGTTTGTAGGCACCAGCTGTGCTTGCTACAAAGCCTCCTGCTCTCCTCTCCTTCGCATCTACCTCCTTCGAAGCCTTCCTGACCACGACAGCAGCACCAGCAGGTACGGTTGACACCTTCTCGGGCAGGGCTGCTGTCGTGGTCAAAAAGGCTCCAAAGGAGGTAGTTGCGGGGAGGGGGGAAGGTAGCAGGAGGCTTTTCAGCAGGCATGGCTGGTGCCTACAAATGCAGCACTGCTCCTCCACTTTCCAACCACAAAATTCCAGAATAAAATTGGGACAGCAATTGAGTACCCCTGATAAAATCCACAACAAGAGGCAAGTTACCCAGACTCACTAGGCGAGGGGAGGGGGTCACCCAATGAATCTGAGCCCTAGAGACATGGTGTAACCTCGGCTGCTACCCATTTTCTTGACAGAGTGACTGGAGTGCTCAGCCTTTAGTCAGGGCTCCTGGCATGACAGCGGATGAGGGCACCTGGTGAGCCCTGCTTTGCAGGACGAAGTGGGCAATGTAATTGCAAGTCCAGCCCCACATATGGTGAGGAGCAGCGGCTACATCTGGGCCCAGGGGCCAAAAAGGAACAGGAGGGGCATGATGGCTGGGCTGCCTTCTGGCCTGCTGCCTTCAGGTTTTTCCTTTGGTTCCTGGCTGGGATGGGTTGAGGCAGCGGGGGCTGGTCCCTCTCTGTCTTCAGGGTGAGCTCACAGGCCAGCTCTATTCACCTTGCGGTCGGATCTGGCATGCGGGCCTTGAATTTGATGTGTCTGCAAAAGGGGATCACATGACCTCGGGATACTGCAACTGTCATAAATATGAACCAGTTGCCAAGTGTCCGAATTTTGATCACATGACCTCAGGGGCGCTACAATGGTGGTAAGTGTGAAAAACGGTCATAAGTCACTTTTTTCAATACAGTTGTAACTTTGAATGGTCACTAAATGGTGGTGTAAATCGAGGACTACTTGTATTGATTTTATTCCATTCAGTTCAATTTCCATTGCTACAAATCTACCACGTTCATCTGATAAAATAACAGGTTTAGATTAGGGTTTTATAACAACTCCATTAACTCCAGCAGATATAAATCGCTCCCCTAATATTTTGTTTATTAAATACTTCTTGTCTTGTTTTTTAATATGTGTTTCTTGAAAGCAAATTATATCAACATTAAGTTTCCTTAAGTAATTAAGTACCCTGTTTCCCCAAAAATAAGTTCCAGCTGGAAAATAAGCCCTAGAATGATTTTTCAGGATGCTCATAATATAAGCCCTATCCCATAAAATAAGCCCCAGTTAAGCTCATTAACCAGATGGGGGTGTTTAGTACTGCATTTCCCCCCAAATAACACCTAACTGGAAAATAAGCCATAATGCGTCTTTTGGAGCAAAAATTAATATAAAACCCAGTCTTATTTTGGGGGAAATACGGTATTTTTTACATTTAGATGGGGCATTTGCCCCATTACATTTAATGGGGCATTTGCCCCATTACAGATAAAATAGTAAGTTCCTATACGAACATTTCAGCCACATCACCTTTTGAGGTTTATTTACTTCTAGTTATTTGTCTGCACAAATTTCTTCATCTGGATCCAAAATTAGTTTATTTAATCAAGAAGTCTTTGGCTTTTTCTATAGAATTCAGTCTAAATCTTTGCTCTTTGATAAGTGGATATCACTCCTTCAAGTATGTTCCAATGGAAGGGAATTTTTCTCTTCTTCAGGATATCAGAAAGGAATAAGCTTTCCTTTTTCTCAAAATTCTGATAGGGATTTCCTTCAAAATGATTATATCCATGTTTTTCATTTTTACTTTAGATTTAAAGTGGCAGTCCAAAACATCTCTCGTTCTTCTTACAAAATGGATTAAAACATACCTTGGTAGTTTTCTCATAGTTGCAAATCTGGAATTTACTCTATAAATTTTGTCTGTTTCAAGGTCGATGGTCTTTTCTTCTCAATTAACCTGGCCAAGCCTTTAATCATCCTTGGTCTAATATCCTCTCCAGACAATTCAGGAACTACTCAAAATCTTAATTGGAGTTGCTTAAATTATAATTCCAAAAGAGATCTTTCATCCAAACCAGCTTCATGCTGAAGATCTTTCTTCTCCAATTTATGCTCCATCAGATCTACTTTATTCTTCACCTGTTTAATATCTCTAGTCAAATGTTATATTTCCTTGTGAAGTTTCTTTGAAAGTACATCAAGTTTTGATTCAATTCCTTGAATGAGTTCATGTGTTTAGCTGTATATACATCCAAAAAAGATTTTAGAGATTCTGCATCTCCTGATGTTCTTCTTTCAGTTTTCTTACGACTAGTTATTTCTCTAAAACATAACCAAAGTTTAAAATTTTAAACTTTGAAGTTATAAATTTTTAACATTAAATCAAATGGGCTTAGTATATAAAATAATGTAACTGGAGAGTTAGTAAGAATTGATAATATTACAATCTTTTGGCAATCTTTTGGCTCCCTTGTGTGGTCAAACAGCGTCACTGCAATGTAAGCTACAAAAGAAACCTGAAATATGTGCTTCTTTGTTTAACAGCCCTCACAGCTGATCCAAACAGGCAAGTAAAATCAGAATTATTTCTCCCCCTCCTCACAACAGAATCAAAACCCCATTTAGGCAGTCTTTGTTTTAAAAGCAAAGAAGTTCAGGAGAGTCAATTAAAGTTAATAAAATCCCTTCCACAGTAATTTCCAGCTTTTTTATTTTGGTTTGGATACACCAATTCCTCCCCTCCTCGCCATCTTAAAGTCATGAAGCTTCAGAAATGACGATATTTCAACAAAAACGAAAAAGTATCCCAGACTTTCCTAGGAAAAAAAGGCAAGTATTAGTGACAAGAGATTCAATTCTAAAGGGAAAAGAAACATAGCCTGCAGACCAGGCAATCAATCTAGGGAGGTATGCTATCTCCTTGGAGCAAAAATCAAAAGATGTAACTGAGAACCTTACTAAAATAATCAACCGCACAGATTACTACCCCTTTCTTCTACACATGGGGATGAATGGTACAACAATGAATCTGAAAACAGTAACAAGATTTTGAACAGTTAGAGAAGAAAGCTGAAGAATTAAGAGCACAAATAATGTTTTCATCTATACTTCCAAAAAAAAGAGGCCAACATTCAATGAGGGAGCAATGGATTTTAGAATGAACCACTGGCTTAAAAACTGGTATTGTCAAGAGAACTTTAGTTTCCTAGACCAGGGTCTTAATTACCAACATGAAGGGTTCTTGGGAAGGGATGGACAGCATCTCACAAGAACTGGAAAGAATATATTCAGAAAATGACTGGCTCATCTTATCAGAAGGGCTTTAAACCAGGGTGGATTTGATTTAAATCAAGTCAATTTAAATTATGATTTAAAATCACTAGTAAAAAGGTTTGATTTAAATCAACTCGATTTAAATCCTAATTTTTAAACAGCAACTGTCATCTCTGTCCCGCAGCTGCTGCTCCTCTGACCCGCTGTTGATTCACCGACAGTCCTATTCAATTTAATGGGATTGCTGGTGATTCGGCAGTGACACAACAAGGTAAGGGACATGGCAGGTCTATACACTAACATTCAAAATGTAGGAACAAACAAGGTGAACTTGAAATACTAGTACATAAGGGCAATTATGATATAACTGCCATTACAGAAACTATAATGATCCACACAACAAAGCATGAAAGCCTTCTAGAATGCATATGGATCAACATATAAGGAAAAAAGAATGACATTGCCATAGGTGCATACTACAAGCCACTCAACCAAACAGAAAAAATTGATGAATTTTTTGCTAATCAGTTAACCAACGTATATAGGAAACCCACCACAATAGTAATCAGGGACTTTAAACTACCTGACATCAACTGGGAACAAACTCTGCAACAAATGGGAGATCAAACAGATTTCTGAACACCTAGTTGACAACTTCATCGCCCCAAAAGTAGAGGTGGCAAGTAGAGGGACAGCTATAGTGGACCTTATTCTTACCAATAGAGAAGATGTGATAAAGGGGATTGAAATTGTAGGAACTCTAGGGGAGAGTGACCATGTAATGTTAGAATTCAATATAAAACAGACACAAGCAACAACATAAACCAATGTTTTAGGCTTTAAAAGAACTGATTTTAACAAACTTAAGAGCTTTTAGGAAGGATCCTATGGATGAAAATCTTAAAGGGCAAATCAACTCAAGAAGCTTGGGAATCCCCGAAAAATATAATTATAAGAGGCCAATCCAGTTCAGTACCACAAAAAAAGATAAGAAGAAAACAGTATGATTTCACAAAGAACTCTCAGATCAACAGAGAGAAAAAAAGGAGAAGTAGAAAAAAATGGAAAGAGGGAAACATAACGAAGGCAGAATATCAACAAAGAGCCCGAACCTGTAAAGATAAAGTTAGGAAACCTAGGCTTTGAACATAGTAAGACTTTCAACAAATGTCAAAAACAATTTTAAAAAGTTTCTTTAAAAATATAAAAAACAAAAAAGTCAAAGAAACAATCTGTCTACTAATGGGAGAAAATGATAAAGAAGTAATGGACAATAGAGAGAATGCAGAACTGCTTAATTCATATTTGCATCTGTCTTCACACAAAAGAAACCACTGCTGAATTTACCAAAAACAGAACCATAAATTAGAGGTCCTTGATGCGCTCTGAACCTGCTTGTTTTCTTACAGATGTTTCATTACCCAAACTAGGTAATATCTTCAGTACCAAAAGGGAGCGTTGTTTGCTGTCCGTTTATATTCTAGTAACTTGCCTGTCAGTGTTTGTGGGGGTGGTCTTAGAGATTATTTGATTGTGCTGTTTGCTATTGGCTTCTTTGGCAGTTTCTTGATTGGGGTATTGCTTACTTGATGCTTACTTGAACATCAGTTGGTCTGATGTTAACTGTTGGCACCTTGGAGTTAATATATACTGATCTGGGTGCTAATTGCTAGTGGAGAAGTGCTTGTGTCTTTTTGTTCCTTTTTGGACTGGATGATAGTCTCTTTTGCATAGTCTATAGATGTTGTTAATGTATATGTGTCTATTGATGACTGATTTGTCAAAGTGCCAGGCTTCTAGAAATTCCCTGACATTTTTGGACTTGTTCCAGGATGGTCACATTTTCCCAATTGAAACTATGGTTAAATCTGTCTGTTGTGAAATTAAAGAATTTTCATTATATCTTCTGATTGCTAGCTGGTGTTCGTAGATGCGTTCTGGCAGTCTTCTGCCTGTTTGTCCTATATAATTGTCCTATATAATTGTTGCAGTACTTACATTGTATGTTATAGATCAGCGGTCACCAACTGGTGGTCCGTGGACCACTGGTGGTCCATGAGAAAATGTTGGTGGTCTGCAGAAAAATTATTTGCATTTTTTATACTGCACTAAATCAGGGGTCCTCAAACTACAGACCCTGGGACAGATATGTGCAATGAATGTTTGTGTTGCTGCAAAGAGTCTCCCCCTTTGGGGTCTTTTTGTGCGGGTCAGAGGGGGACAGAAATTCCAACTTGGAGTCTGCTTCAGCCTCCTGGTGCAAGGCTTTGGCCAAAGGCTGGAGGGAAGTGCCACTGGTGGCAAAGAACCGGAGGGCCTTGTTTCAATGGGACTGCATCATGGCCTGGAACTGGCTGACCATCTCAGCCCGCTGAGCCTCCAGGTGCCTGTACATGGCCTTTCATTCCTACAGGTCTTCCCTCTGCTTAGAAAGCCTATGCTCATAGTCCTCAGTGAGGTGTTTCTACTGAGCCTCCTTCTCGGTCAGATCCAATCTGAACTGAGCTGTTTGCCAACTCTTTCTCATGGTGGCTGCTTAGCTCCAACAACTGCTTCCTGTTGGGGCTCTAAGCAGCCTGGGCAGGGAGACGAGGAGTGGCTGGGAGGGAAGGGGTGAGTAGAGGCTAGCGAGGTGCCTCTAGACGTGACATTGAGGTGGCCATGCCCACCCAATCAGATGACCACCTAGTCACGCCCACCCAACTGGTCATTAGGCAGATCATATTAGTGGTCTGTGGGATTTAAAATTATGAATTTAGTGGTCCCTGAGGTCCGAAATATTGGTGACCCCTGTTATAGATGACTCCTGGTTTTTTTTTCTTCTGGGATTGTTGGGTCTTTTGGTCTGCTTACAATGTTTTGAAGGGCTTTATTTGGCTTATGTGCTATGCTGATTCCATGTGGTTATAGTAGTCTGTTGGTGGTTTCTAAGATATTCTTGATGTATGGCAATATAATTCTTTGCAGGGTTTGTGTTGGTTGTGCTGTATTGGGTCGAGTAGTCAGGAACTTTTTAATAAAGTTGCATGGATATCCATTTTGTTGGAATGTGTTGTAGAGATGCTTTATTTCCTTTTTCTGCTCTTCTGGGTTGCTGCAGTATGTTGGGCTCATCTAAATAAAGTCCTTACACATCTTCTCTTGTGGGAGGTTGGATTATTGCTTTGGCAGTGGAGTATCAGGTTAGTATGGGTAGTTTTTCTGCACACTTGCATTTCTAGTTTGCCATTGTGATCTCTGCTGATCAGGATGTCCAGAAAAGGAAAGTTGTTTTCTTCTTCTCTAATAAACTGGATTCCTTTAAAAATGTTATTGATGGTTCTGTGGTTATTCTTTAATTAGTCATTTTTTATTATGGTGAAGGTGTTATCTACATATCTGATCCATACAGTCCTGAAAGTGGTGATCCCATAGGTGTCCCTTTAATTTGTTGGTAAAGCTGGCCATCAAATTGGAAGTATGTAATTAAGCAGAGGTTTATGAGATCCATAATCCTGGGTGTTTCGATCTTTGTGTATTTATCTGCAAGAAAACAAACAAAGTCAGAGAGCACCAAGGATCCCTCATATCAACTTTGAGCTACAAATATTCTTCTTTATTAGAACCATAAATGAATGCAAATTAAAATATGCAAAAGATAAGGTAAGAGAATACCTGTCAGCTCTAGACAGATTCAAATCACCAGATTCTGATGAACTACATCCCAGAGTTCTGAAGAAATTGACAGCATGATTTCAGAACCATTGAAACATATCTTTCAAAGTTAATGGATCACTGGATAAGTACCTGAGGACTGAAAAAGAGATGATAATGATCCCCGTCTTCAAAAAAGGAGAAAAAAAAATAGATCCAGGAAATTACAGACTAATCAGCCTGACATTGATACCTAGGAAGATCTTGGAAAAGATGATCAAGCAACAAATCTGCAAACATCTACAAACAAGCAAGGTGATAACCAGAAGCCAATATGGATTTTTCAAAAACAGATCATGCCAAACAATCTTATTTCATTTCTTGACAAAGTGACCAAATTAGTACATCAGTGAAATGCTGTGGACATAGTATTCTTAGATTTTAGTAAAGCATTTGATAAAGTAGACCACAACCTACTTCTTGGTAAGCTAGCAAAATGTGGGATAGACAGCATCTCTACCAGATGGGGTTGTAAATAGTTGACAAATTGTATTCAACATGTAGTCCTCAATGGAACTACATCCAAATGGAGGGAAATAAGCAGTGGGATGCCCCAGGGTTCCGTTTTAAGCCCATAATGATGTAAATGAGGGAATAGAAGGAGAACTCATCAAATTTGCTGACAACACTAAGCTGGCAGGAATAACCACACTCCAGAAGACAAGCTCAAGATCAAAAAAGAGCTTGACAGCCTTGAACAATGGGCCCTATCTAACAAAATGAAATTCAACATAGATAAAATCAAGATCATGTGAAGTTCTAGTACCACTTTACAAAGCCTTAGTAAGACCACACTTGGAATACTGCATCCAGTTCTGGTCACCAATCATCATTAAAAAAGATACTGAGATTTTGGAAAGTGTGCAGAGAAGAGCAACAGGAATGATTACAAGGCTGGAGGCTAAAACATACAAAGAACTGTTACAGGAATTGAGTATGTCTTGTCTAATGAAAAGAACTACGGGTGACATTCAGCACTATTCTAATATTTAAGGGGCTCCTACAAAAAAACCAGGGTCAAACTATTTTCCAAAGCACCAAAAGGCAAGACAAAAAACTATGGTTGGAAACTAACCAAGGAGGGAAGCAACCTAGAACTAAGGAGAGAAATTTCCCAATGGTAGAGCAATCAACCAATGGAATAGCTTGCCTTCAGAAGTTGTGGGTGCTCCATCACTGGAGACTTTCAAAAAGAGACTGGACATCCATTTTTCTGAAATGGTATAGGGTCTCCTGCTTGAGGAGGGGGTTGGACTAGAAGACCAATTCTAGGTCCCTTCCACCTCTGTTCTATGAAATACTGGATGCAGTTACACTATAATCTTGCTATGATTTTGATGGACAATTTCATGTCTATTATCAGGCAGGATCAGAAACGGAATATTTGCCTCATAGCTGATGCATAAGAAGGGGCCGCTAAATCTATTGTAATGCAGTTGCTATAAATACTTGGTTCTAAATTATCTAGCAATTTTGATAATTTGATTTACCAATTGCACCAATTTTCCTGTTTATGGTCATTTTGTTTGTGTATGTGTGTGTATGTATGTGTACGTATTCCTTTTGATTTTTATGATTTATGGTAATCTTTAATCATAAAAAAATCAAATGAAATTAAATGTTAGAACATACAACTTGTTCCCACTTACCAAACGTAATTGGGACATGAACTCCATGGCTAAGGAACATGATCCTAAGACACAGTCATGTGACCACTGCAGTTATGATGCCAGTTCTGACAGTCCCTATTGGCATCGTTAGGTGAATCCCACACAGTGGTAGTATCCCATGTCCATGAGATTGCTGTTTGCAACCTCCTGCCAACTTCCTCATTAACTTTGTTTGCCACAAGCTGGCAGTGAAGGTGACAAATCACAATTGTGACTTTGGGATACTGCAACATTGTAATTATGAGCCAGTCACCAAGTGCCCAGATCACTAACCAAATCACAGTACAATTGCATGGCTGTGGGTGGTTGTTCAGGAGGTCCACCAATAAGGGACAAAAGCTAGAGCTGTATGAATAAACAAGGCAATTATTCACAGCCAAAACTATGAAGGAAATAACAGCATAAACGATACATTTTTTAAAAAAATGTATATTTGTAGATCAACAAATATTCAATGTTATTATCTATACCTGATAACATTTGCCCAGACTTTAACAAATATAAAAAGAAAAAAATGTATAATATTAAATATTAAAATAAATATTAAAAATAAAGGGCAAGTTTATAACTAATATTGGTCTTTTGACAGAGAGGGTTTTTTTTAAAAAAATCAGAGCCTATGAAATGATTATGGTTGTATTCCTTTCCAGAATTTCACTAGAGTGGTAATACCGCACTTCTCCAAAAAGATGACCCACGTTGAAAAGAAGGCCTACCACATTTTTGAGCGCATACAATCAAATTAAGACCCACCCACAAAATTAGCTGTAATCAAGACCCCATCCATCCCGGGGTATGGGGTGGGGCAAGGCACACAGGTAAAAAATGGGGGTGCAGTTGCCCTACTTACCAGGCCTCGCACATCCGACACCTGCCTCGTCGTCTTCTGTGGCCACTTGCCACTCACACGCATTGCCCTAGTCTCCGTTTCACTTTCGGATGCCTGCTGGAAGACATCTGCAGCCAATAGCAGAGCTCTGGATCAATCTGGAACTAATGGGCTGCAGAGGGCTTTCTAGAAGGCATCTGCAGCCGATAACGCGCTCTGGATCGATTCAGAGCTCTGTTATCAGCTGCAGATGCCCTCTGGCAGGCATCCAAAGGCAAAACAGAGGCCAGGGTGATGCGTGCAAGCAGTTGCAGAAGAAGTGAACTCCTGCTAGACAGGACTGTCAGTGCCACAAGCATGAGGTGAGTCAATAATTAGAACCTTCCAAAAAGAAGGCCTAGCAGTTTTTTCGGGGGTCAAAAGAAAATAAGACCCGGCGTTCTTTTTGGAGAAACACGGTATCAAGTATAGTTCTGTATTAGTTTCAACTGAAAAAATATGATACTACTCTGATAGTATTTATACTATTAAATGATAAGATCAAGAAACAATCTGATATTATTGTTACTATTAAATATCCCAGGATAAAATTGATAATATTTTGACTGAATAAGTCAACATTAAAAATATTTTTATTATGTAATATTGAATCAAATGTATATTTTTATATAATACAGCCCTTCCTAAGATTACATATTTTCACTGACTATATACCCATACTTTTCTTTTCCAAAAAAATTATAGCTTATTAAATATATTGAAACACGAAAAGGAATTAGTTTACATACTTAGTTCAATTGGAGGCTTATTATAAAATATCATTTTAAATATTGTAAAATTTCTTCTATAGCTTTACTGTAGTTTCATTTAGTAAAGTTTACATAACTAATTTTGAAGGCTTGAAAGATCCTGTTGATTATGCAAGTTACTCTCTGATTTTCTACTAAATTTTTCTGCAAAAATATTCATAACAATTCTGGCATGTAAATTATAGCTGGCATTACCTTTGATTACTCATCTTCTGATTTTATAAAAAGCCATCAAACTGATATTAGATTACTAATTAACACTCTAAATCAGATGTGTTCAACCTTGCAACTTTAAGACTCCCAGAATTATTTATCCAGCATCAATTAGTAATTGAATATCAGCCCTTGATATATTTAGAAAACTGAAATCAGTCATTTTTGCTGGATGTGGAAATGGATTTTGCTATAATAGCCCCGGAAATTTCTGAAATAAATTTTACTCAAAGGTTTTTACTTTTTTACCAAATAGATTAAAGTGGTATTCTATTGGCTTCAATAGAATTATTATATATTAATCATACTTTCATCTGAAACTGATAAAGGATATCCCAAAGGTGCTTTTTTTTTCAAAAGGCAACTGGACTATGTTTTTTCTTGAAGACATTTCGCTTCTCATCCAAGAAGTTTTTTCAGTTCTGACTGAATGGTGGAGGAGGAAGGATTTATATTCATTGCAGTCATCTGGTTGTTAACTCTCTTTCTGAAAGTCGTTGAGGCCACTTGGAGGTTTGTTTTGTGCTCCCAGGGACACCTGAATAGTGCAAATGGGTGTGAAACCTTCTTGGAAATGCTGAAAGGACTGTGTTGTAAACAGGAGATAGGTGGTGTCATATATTTCCCCCTCTGTTGAGAGAGGACTGTTCAGTCTTAATGTAGATGGTCTCTTTGACCCCTCTTTCAAACCAATGGTTCTCTCTATCCAGAATGTGAACTTTGCTGTCTTCAAAAGAGTGACCTCTTTTGAGATGCAGATGGACTACTGGATCTTATCCTGGTGGATTTGTTTTTCTACGTGTGCCATATGTTTATTGAGTGGTTGTGTTGTTTCTCCAATGTACAGATCTGTATATATTTGTATATATCACTGCATTGTACTGCATATATCACATTGTTCAGTTTGTGTTTGGATGATTTATCCTTGGGGTGGCCAAGCTTCTGCCTTAGTATATTTTTTGGTTTAGAGCATGTATGTATATTGTATTGGTTAAAAATGCTCCTGACCGTTTCAGATATTTCTGCAGCGTATGGAATGACAACATTGCTTCATTTGTTGTTCTCTTCTTTGTCTGTTATGGAGGAGTTCCTGCTGGTTCTTTTTTTTATTATTATTTGATGAAGGTCCAGTTGGGTTAGTCACAAGTTCTGAGAACTTCCTCGACATGTTTTAATTCTTTTTCTTTTCCATCTTTACTGGTTGACAAACTTTAAGTCCAGTGTTGTAGGGTTCTGATCACTTCCATTTTGTGCTCTAGTGGGTGCTGAAAATCAAAATGTATATACTGATCTCTGTGTATGGATTTTCTGTAAACTTTGGTGTTAAAGCTTCTGTCTTCCTTAATGTGTAATGCACAGTCCAGGAAGGTGAAACTATTATCCTTAACATCTTCCAAAGTGAACTTAATGTATCTGTCCACAGAATGGTTGTGTTTGATGAAGGCTTCTAATTCCTGTGTTTTAATCTTGACTCAAGTATTGTCTACCTACCTATACTGCCAGTGAGTGGATAGAATTCCTGTGAAGGAGTTAGGGCTTTAATTTCTACCTCTTCCGGGTAGAGATTGGCCACAATGGGAACACAGATGAACCCATGGCATAGCCATGTTTTTGTCTGTAGAAACCTTCATTGTATTTAAAATAGGTAGCGGTCAGGCAAAGGTCCAGCAAGTATTCTGGGCATATGTACCTTGCTGGACCTCTGATCACTCCAAGCCCAGCAATGCAAAGACAAAACCGCTCCAAGCCCAAAGTGTGGTATAAACTCCCAGCCATCCAACAAGTTCTGTAATAAAAGCCATCCTTGTGGCCCTGTGCTCCACCTTATTCAGTTGACCTTCTGCTGCTTCAGATGATGTATGAGTGAACTAACTCTCCGTGAGGCATCTGCTGGCTTCATGAAGCCTTCTTTCCACAAAGAGATTGCCACACTGAACAAGAATACAGTCTTGAGTTCCCAGCAGCTGCTTCAAAAGACTAGGCCAGGCATGCTTGTCAGTAGTGAGAGCAAGAAGACAGTAAATATTAATAATTCCACTTATAAACACTTTCAGATTTTGGGAAATCAGTTTTGGGACTGATTAATCATCCAAGAAAATCCAGATATAAACCTATTGTGATTCATTTGTTTTTGCTATGTGATAATTTACCACTGCTATTGCAGTAGGTTGCGTTAGATACATACCTTACTTGAGCATCTTTAACTACAAATTTAATTTGTAACATTAAATAGACACTTTTGAATAAAATATCTGTTATTTCATGATAGTAAATTCCTTCGAATGAAATTAAAAAATTACAAATAGCAGAATATTCAAGTTGCTTCAAAATTTCATGTATCTCTTTTTAAAATACATTCTAAGAATTCACTCAAATGATGAAATGTGAATATATTATTTCTTTAGAATATTCTATTCTGTAATAGAATTTGTATCTTTTCCAAAATAAGGTATAAGAGAAATATTGAACCCTATCGCACAATTATTTGATAGCTGATATTTTAATTTTGTTTTTTAGAAAAGGAGTTTAGCCTAAAAGACCTTTTAGTACATATTTCTGTCTGTAGTGATTGTTTACTAGATGCCCTTTGGAAGCTTGTTATTAGGACATGAAGAACAATGGCCATCCTTTGCTAGTATTCAGAGCTATATTGCCTGCCATTTTGTGGCTAACTGGAACTGAGATGTTTTATTTTCCATGTATTTTAAAATATTTTAGAATAACAAAGCAAGCGACTATGACAACATCTTGTAGTGGTAGTAAGTGACAAATCATTTGAAATTACACCAAGTTTTGTTTGAACTCACCAGTTAATGATCGTACAAATTGGCTGAATCGTGTGTGTGTGTGTGTGTGTGTGTGTGTGTGTGTGTGAGTATTTTTTTGAATATGTGAAAATTACATTTTATGATTCAAATGTAGAGACTTTAAAATGATTCATATTTCCAAATCTAAACCATTCCTATTGACTTTCAGCTTGCTTTGATATCCCAGAGAATTGACAGAAAATGCAAAACAGTGAAGTAATAAAGCCTGCCAAATACTTTTCTGAAGTGGAGAAGAGTGTGCTGCTGGCATTAGTTGAGAAATATAAGTATGTACTTGAGTGTAAAAAGAGTGATGCAAGGACTATTGCACTGAAACAACGGACCTGGCAGGCCCTTGCTCATGAATATAATTCCCAACCAAATGTATCACTCCGAGATTTCAAGCAGTTGAAAAAATGTTGGGAGAACATAAAGGCTCGGACAAAGAAAATAATGGCACATGAAAGACGAGATAAGGTAAAAAGATGCATTAGTCCACTTATAAGTAATCACATCCTAGGAAAAGAGAAGATCACCAACATGATACCAGACCAAGTATATTTTTTACAGACTCCACCAGAAGAAGATTCTGAGTATCAGCCTGAAACTTCCAATCAAGGTACAGTCATAATCTAGTGACCTGCATTAATCTTTTTTTTTCCTATTTCAAAAATAGATAGGATATTTCCACTACATTTATCCACTGGTATCTGTATAATGACATCAGTTTTCAAAGTGTAAGCAAATCACATATACAATTCACTGAATAATTAGTGACACATAATTCACTGCTTGTAGCAGTGAAAACAGCAAGATCGGTCCTGAATTGTGTCTTAGCTAAAGCATCATCACCATGTTTTTATCTCAAAGTAGACGAGAGAGAAAATCTTTGACAGTGGAGTCAAAAGTTCTTTCAAAGTAATTTCTTACTAATTTTTTAAAATTTTGGTTTTAAAAATTTAACTTGCCTTTTGATGTCATATATTTAATTCCCAATTAGTTAGATTTTTAAATTATTAATAATAATCTTCTGTACAAAGGGTACTATTTTAAATATGACTATGTACAAATTTGTATAATGTTTTAGCAGTATTTTTTTTTTATTAAAAAGTTATAGAAAGCATGCTGCAATTGGACAATTTATAATGGTAAAAAGGCCTCTCTTTTTTTCAAAAATACAGCTTTGAAAATCATAGTAATCACTTAATGTAAATGCATCTTATAAACAATTGATGAAACATACAGTTTTTAACTGTTTCTTGTATTTTCCCAGAATCTTTCAGTGTTATTAACAAAGAATCATGTGATGAAGAGAAAGGACTTGTACATTTCCAGGTATGTGAAGGTACCTCACAGTCTGAGCCTTCCTGTTCAGCAGTCAGAGTAACTGGAAATAAAAACTTCAGAAATAAAGCTGCTCAAGAAAGTGATTTGAAAAAGATGCATGAAGAGGAACACCATCAGCAAATGTCTATTTTACAATTGCAACTGATCCAAATGAATGAAGTGCATGTGGCAAAAATTCAACAGATAGAAAGGGAATGTGAAATGGCGGAAGAAGAACACAGAATCAAGATGGAAGTGTTAAACAAAAAAAAAATGTACTGGGAAAGGAAACTTCAGACTGTTACAAAAGAATGGCCTGTATCATCTTTTAACAGGCCATTCCCTAATTCACCCTAGTACATGCAGAAGCTGGTGATTCATTAGACTGACGTAACTTGATCATCAGAAAATAGTTTGAGAATTAGGTTCAGTTCCTGTATTTAGAACGACAGTGTAATTGTTGGCTATGAACAAATATCACTAAATACCTAAAGTAGAGTTTAGGTAGGTTTTCATTTAATAAAACAACAAAGAAATCTCCATATTTTTGGAGGCAAAATGTTCATCTAACTTTTTAATGGAATTTCCAGGTATGCCCAATAAACCCACTCTTTTCCATGGTAGCCAGCTCAATCCAATTGGGTATTTTATGTTATTTTATTTTTGTAGCTGAATTTTTCAATTAATTATTTAATGATGAATGTATCTTAAGGTACAGTTTCTAAGACTTGAAGAGTGACTCAGTTGAATTATCAAGCAAGGTAAAAAGGGCGATAATACAGCAATTGCTGTACAAGAAAAGGAATTCAGATTTCCAACAGCTGTCTGATTAGCCGTCTGTTCAGTCATAGTTATAATTGTGGAATACTAGAAATGTGTGTTCCCCCCTTTCTGCCTTCACTTCTGTCCTGATAGATCATCTAGTCTATTGCCCTTGATTTGCACTGCATGGCACAATCAGCCCACTAGCTGGTAAAACTCACCCTGGCATCTGGCCTGCAGTAAAAAGAAATAGCCCACTTCTATTTGCAGCCTAGTCCTATGAATGTTTTATCCAAAGTAAATGCATATAGAGTTTGCAATTTATTAATTTTATGCAAGTACTGCTTGTGAATGTTTGTGGCTTCCTGCTACTATGTACACAGATATTACTGGACACAGGTTTAGAGGCACATAATGTTTGAAGCAAGCCTTGTAGAGCTTTTACCTTTGAAAAGATTAAAAAGAGTTGAAGGAAACAAATATAATATGAAATAGAAAGAAAACTATTCTAACTTTAAAATAGCTAGTAGCCTAGAATGTCCACAATTCATATGTAGCATTATTTCAGATTAATCAGCAGAGATGGTAGGGACTAGCATTTTTTCAGAGTAGGAATTCTGTTGTGTTCATTGGGTTTCCAATAAATCCGAAATAATTTCCTTCTGGAAATTTCTAGAAAAATTTTTTTTCACTCCGTGCATTTCTGCTGGTCACTGGCTTGAAGTTTATTAAGAACATTACCAAATCTTTTAAATATCTGAATAGTAGGGTAAAGTTATTATTCATAGAAAGCTACCAGTAAAACAAAAGGGAGGCACAGTTCATTTCTGAAGGAACAACCTCATAGCTATACAACCACCCTAACATATTTTTAATTACTTATTCTGTTCTCCTTTTGGGTAATTCTAAATTAACAAAAGGACGCTGCTTTCTTATCCAGGTTTATAGGTGAATGTTGTGAACAACCTGAATCCAGAATTTAAACATTTGCTTGTTGACTAGCTTGTGTGTTGAATTTAGTTAAAGCAGTGGAGTCTCATCCTTTATAGAACAAAATGGGCAAAACCAAAACAATTTATTTTTTGTATTTTTTGGTTTTGGCTTAGACTAAAAGGCAAAAACCATTGGAGTTTTTAAAGCAACTAACTTCATTTTAATATAAATCTATTATCAAAAAAATCAGTGCAAACTATAGTTCAAAATTTGCACTAAGTAAATTAAATTTTGTTACTGGTATGAATATACTATATATTTCCATAGCATACATTTATTTTATTTTTTTTCTAATCATTGGACATTATGCCACTTATAGTAGAAAATTCTGGATAAGAGATTTCACCATGCATTCAGCACATGCATTGAAGTTACATTTACAGCTTCAGTGACTTGGATTATGTTTTAGATATCATATTTGTTACTTTTCTTGAGCATACAAAATACTAAGACCCGATTATTATTTCCAGTATTATAAAGAAGAAGAAATTAATTTTTATATATTCTAAGTTTACCTTTACCTACAAAAGAAGCAAGTTAAAAGTTAATGAAATCATAATTTTACACAACAAATTAGTGTCATTTAATTATTTATATATTTCCAAATAATTGTGTGATTTTTCCAGTTAGTTTAGTAGCATTTTTCAATGGTCTAATTTGATAAAAACAATCGTGTCTTTGAATTTTAGTTTGTTCCAAACTTGCATTTGTTTATTTTTAATAATTTAATATTGGAAAAAAGTCTTTTCCAAGCTATCTACAGACTGTTCTTATTGAATGGGATTATGATTGGGTTTTTTTTTTAATTTACTATTTTTAAATAAACCAAACTAAATAAAAATAAGGGAATTATTTTAAAAAACCAAATAAATGGGAAAAGACCCAAAGAATCATCAATATTAAGACATGGCTGAAAATGAAAGAGCAAGTAAGGCATGCAATTATTTAATTCTATCATATCTGGAACTAATATGATAAACACAAAATCCAAAGAGATACCATTAAGCATACTCAGGGGGTTGAGCAAATTGGGACTTTTCAAAGGTTATGTCAACCACTGTTTTAATACAAGCAATGAAATGTAATTTTTTATTTTGAGTGAGTGTTGTTGAAGTTAACAATCTTCCTTTTTGTGATTCCATTGGAAATATGCTAAATATCTTAGTATAATGGCTAAATATCTGGCTCAATTTGTTCTATCCAATTTCATTCATGAAGGTAAAGTTGTATGGATATTTGTTTAATAACTGTATGTTTAACAGTTTTTAAACTTCTAAGAGGTCTCTTTGCACTACTGATATTTAATCTGTATAGATGTTCTGATTCATCATTTCAGTTCAAGTCTCTACATATTTCAGAGCAGGCTAACATTATAGATGAGTTGCATCTCAGACTGCACAAGTTAAGAACGACCAAGCTAAATGCAATGACTAGCACTCTCGAAGTATGTTTAGCTAAATGGGTCACCAGTTCAGATCTTTGTTCATTTTATATTCAATTTCTAGTGAATGTCCCATAATTTATAGCATATTATTGTTATTATGCTATGTCTTGATTTCTGTCACTAGTTATCATTAAAGTTTATAAGTGTCAAATATTAGCATGGGCAAAGAGAACCTTGAAGTAGCAATATTGTGAAGATAAGACATATAAATAACAATTTGTTGAGTATCTGTTTCTGCTACCATATTCACCAAGTTCTGGTTGTGTAGGTTTATGGCTGGTGGCGCATACCATGCTAGCTTAAAATGTGGTTTGTTCAGTTTGGCTTAGCCATTGTCTTATACATCAGAATTTATGGTTTAGCACTATATATGATATAACATTTAACCAAGACATTTGTGTAGCTTCAGTATTGGTGCAAATAGGACAGCTCCATCATTTGTTTCCTGGGTATGAAAAAAACTAACTGGCTTGGATCAAATCCTTCTACATTTAGCCATTTTGTTCCAAATTTGAGAATGAGTTGACACTACCAATCAATCTGTCTACTTCATTCAAATAATTCTAACTTGCATTGGATCTATCCATTTGACAATGCATACCGTGTTTCCCCGAAAATAAGACTCTCTTATATTTTTTTGAACCCTGAAATAAGCGCTTGGCCTTATTGCCATGCACTCAAAAGCCCGATTGGGCTTATTATCAGGGGATGTCTTATTTTGGGAGAAACAGGATATTACAGAGCCTTTTTGAAATCTCTTCAAATTGCAAGAAACCATCTCAAATATCCTCAAACAAGTACCTCTTCAAATTAGTACCAAAGCTGTTTCTGCTTTTTACAGAATTCTTTTCAAAATACATAATGGAAAATATGGGAAATTGCTATTATGTCCAAATATGAATTGTTGCCCTATTTGGTCTCTAGAACCAGAACCTTATGCTTTATATATAAATATTTAAAGAATAAGGGGAACTTCGTTATGTATCTTGGCTTCATGATAACATTTTTTGATGAAGGATTTGTTCAGTAATATTTATTTTTTCATCAAAAGAGACTCCAAAAAAATCCATAATGAAAATTAATAGTAGGTGTACATTTTAGTGCCTTGTCTATTGTATAATGTGTAATCAAATTATGGATTTCTTATTAAAAATGTATCTAAATATTGCTAGTAGAAAAATTCCATATGCCTATAGTTGCTCCCAATAAATCATGATGTATTAATTAATCTTGAATTTTTCTTTCAGTGTAAAATAATACCTTGCTTGGTATTCACTATAAACAGTAATAGTTCTAAGTACATCGGGGGGAAAAAAGAGGATGGCATGTTGATTACAATTAAGCAAAATATGAGAAAATAATTTAAACAAGGCATCAGCATATACAGCATGTTCTATAAATGCTATCTAATATAAAATAGTGACTAGAACAATAGTGATGGTAAAAGTTTCAATTATATAGACAATGAATAGAGTCCAAAACACATTTGCAATACAGTCACCTTCTCCCTAATGAAAGCAAACTTTCACGAATGTTTGTATAAAGATTAAACTACAATTAATTGAATTACTACTTGCCTGAAGTTCACAACACATGGAAACAAAATTTAATACCTAGTTAGATAAAGATGCTGAGTCAGACTTATCGTGCCTACATCTGAGAAAGTATCTTGGAGTAGTTACTCAACACATACTTACAGTAGCAAAGTTACACAGATTAAGTAGGTATTGATAAAAAAATGTACAGGTAGTCCTTGACTTACAGTTAATTTAGTGACCATTCAAAGTAACTGTTTTTCATTGCACCGTCCCCATATAATAGAATATATAAATTAGAATATGGTAGAGAAAACTGTTCCATGTAGGATTGTGGGTTGTTGAAGAAGTGGGAATGAAGGAAAACAGACATTTCTAAAAAATGGATTTTATATTTTTATGAACAGAATTCTGAATTGGAAAAGCTGTGCTTTTAGTCCTGAAATTTTACGTAAAGCCCACAAGAGGCTCTGTTATCCTTGTAGAAATGTCTATGACTTTGTCTTCTCAACAGGAAGTTGTTAAGTCAAATGAATGAAGTAAAATAGGTGAGCCAGGTGCTGGTTTTATGGTAACCTAAGATAATACATCCACTTGTTTTAAATCACCAGAAACTGAATTCTCAGTTTTCTGCTCATGTTGATTCCAAATCAGTGTACAGTCTATACCCGTGATGGTGAACCTATGCACATATGCCACAGGTGGCATGCGTAGCCATATCAGTGGGCACACCAGCTCAGCTCTGGTGCACATGCACGTGCCGGCCAGCTGAGTTTCAGGCCTTCTGGCCCACCAGAAGTAGGGAAACAGGCTTTTTCCTGCCTCCAGAGGACCTGGGGTTGGTGGGGAAGGCCCGTTTTTCTTTCTCACCTGGCTCCAGATCCTCTCTATGCATCTGGGGAGGGCGAAAACAGCTTTCCCCACCACCTCAGAGGCCCTCCAGAGGCCTGAAAGGGCCCATTTCCCAACTCCCGGTTGGACAGGAAGTGACATTTTTTGATGTCTCCAGCCTCCAGAGACTCTTAGAGAGGCCTCCGAGGGATGGGGAAGGCTGTTTTCGCCCTCCCCAGATGCATAGAAGGATCTGGAGCCAGGTGAGAAAGAAAAACGGGCCTACTGGGCCATCGCATGCCAGGAGCAGGGGGAGAGGGGTTGTGCACCCATGCGCAGGGCAGGGTGCATAGAATTATGGGTGTAGGCACGCATGTGCGAACCTCCCCCGCCCCCCCTTTCCTGCCACGCGATGCAAAAAGGTTAGCCATCACTGGTCTATACGTTCCTGACATTTATTACACCAAATAATATTTAAGGGAAACACCATGCATTTTAACAGTCTCTGTTGAATGGCCTCTTGTCCCATTCACCTCAGCTATATAGGATTAATATTCAGGAAACTGTTTTTCTATTAAGTTTTTTGGAAAGTGTCCTCATTGTTTATTTCTTGCCCTGGAATTGATTTCAGTTGTTCTATAGCTCTGTAGTGGTCTGCAGATAACAACAACAACAACAAAATATACTGTGCTCTGGAATATTTCTGCCCAACATTTCATGATTTGCAATTTTAGCAAACATGAGCCAGCAGTGACACTGCAGAAAATATTATACATTGATTAATATTTTATTATATCTTGCTAAATATTTAATGTTTGCTTCAAGGAATAAATTCAACATGTACACTTCCAGTTGTCTATCCCCAAAATGATTTTTTTTAATAATTCAATTTTACAAATGCTGTTTTTCTTTCTTATAAATATTCCATATAATCCTAAATTAGAAATTTGAATTTGTTTTACACTATTATTTAGTTAAATAATGAAGAGATCTTTGGAACTTAGTTATATGCATCTCTGCTTTTGAGGAATGGTAACGTTAACTAAATAATTGGAAATGACTTGCAGCTTCCATGGCAGGATAATTATATAGAACAGGGATGGCTAACCTTTTTGTCATCGCGTGCCAGGAGAGGGGGGTAGGGGAGGTTCGTGCACATGTGTGCCCACACCGGTAATTCTATGCGTCCTGCCCTGCGCATGCACATGCAACATACACACACACACACATCCCGGTCCTGGCACGCGATGGCTCGGTAGGCCCGTTTTTCTTTCTCATCTGGCTCCAGATCCTCTCTATGCATCTGGGAAGGGCAAAAATAGCCTTTCCCACTCCCTCGGAGGCCCTCTGGAGGCCTGAAACGGCCCATTTCCCAACTCCCGGTGGGACAGGAAGTGACATTTTTTGCTGTCCCCAGCCTCCAGAGACTCCTAGAGAGGCTGTTTTCGCCCTTCCCAGATGCATAGAAAGGATCTGGAGCCAGGTGAGAAAGAAAAACGGGCCTTCCCAACTCCCACACCCCCAGGCCCTCCAGAGGCAGGAAAAAGCCTGTTTCCCTACTTCTGGTGGGCCCTGAAGGCCTGAAAATCAGCTGGCGGCGCGCTCATGAGCGCCATAGCTGAGCTGGCATGCCCACTGATATGGCTACACATGCCACCTGTGGCACGCATGTGGCACGCATGTGGCACGCATGCCATAGGTTCGCCATCACAGATATAGAATGTCTATAGGGAGGAAAAGACACAAATCCACTCAAAACCAGCTAAGTATTTATCAGATTTCATCATCTCTTTTTTTATTCTTAAAACAATCCATTCCCTTGTTTCTATTTTCATTTATATAACCCATTTTGACTTTTTCTTCCTATTTTATTCTCAAAAGCTCTAAACTAGATTGGGTTAAGGAACAAGTTATCCTAAACCATGACTGAGTAAGAATTTAAGATGGCTTGTATCTTGTTAATGAACAGAACTATCATTAGCTTCATTGATATGTTTTACTGACTGCATCGTAGCCTGTTTTTTGTTCTTTGAACTCTCTCAGCCATGCCCTCCTTATTCCTTCAGTTTGGGAAAACCTTGGGAATTAAATGTTTCTGTGCAGCGAACTGCCTGTTATAGAAGGTTCAACACTTAACCCATTGCAGTTTTCAGAATTCTTGGGATAAAACATATCCTGGTTCTTCTGCCCTATCCTACCCTTTCCCAATATTTGGAAAATAATATATTTCTTTCTTCCCACACAAATCAAAAACAGCTTATCACATTGACCTAATTCCCTCCCACAAGAGTTTGTCTTTTTTGCTTCTAAATAAAATATACACTTGCATTCTTATTCTTCCCCCAATGGTAACTGTTCATCTTTATTGCACATGAAACACCACATTATAGCAACAGCAATAGCGCATAGACTTATATACCGCTTTACAGTGCTCTACAGCCCTATCTAAGCAGTTTAGAGTCAGCATATTGCCACCAACAATTTGGGTCATTTTACCGACCTCGGAAGGATGGAAGTCTGACTCAAACTTAAACCTGGTGAGATTTGAAGAGCCAAATTGCAGTCAGCTGGCTATCAGCACATGTAGCCTGCAGTACTGCACTTTAACCACTGCACCACCATGTCTCATATATAAGGGATGAAACAATTCAAATGTAACAAAATTAATTTTAAAAGTGCAGGTAATCCATGGGTTATGAGTGTTCCTGTGACGAACGTTACTCAATAAGCATCCCCTAGCGTTTGTGAACAAGTCCCGAAACTATGAATCTTGCAGCACCACGGCAGTTCTCCCTTATGAACAACTGTAGAGACTGCAACATTCGTCCTGAACGTTGCCGGCCAAAATGGAGCTTTCGAAGGGTGGATCCGCCCCTATGATTCTCCATTTGGACCTCCAACGGCCTTGGCCGGCCCATTGCAGGCCAAAATGGAGCGGATCCACTCTATATCGACCTGCAATGGGCTGGTGGAGGCGGACAGAGACTTGAACAGAGCATCAGAGGGGGTGGATCCGCCACTCAGAAACTCCATTTTGGCTTGCAACAGGCAGGGGGAAGCCCCTGCGGAAGCCTGAACCAGGGGTGAAATGCTCCGAATTCTGCTACTGGTTTGCTTTGCTACCAGTTTGCTACCAGTGCATGCCAAACATGTGTTTCATGTGTGCATGTGCAGTGCGTGCCAAATGTGCACTTTGCATGCATGAGCACCACAGGCACTACCATGCAGTGCTGAAAAAGGAGAATTAAGAAGCCTTTTTTGAGTTTTCAAAGGTAAGTAGAACAGCAAGAAGGGGAAACAGCTGTGCCGCGCGATTTATATTCGCTAGAAAGCAGGATTTCCTGCTTTCTAGTGAATATAAATCGCGCGGCACAGCTGATCGTCTGAAATACCAGTTCGCCCGAATCGGGAGCATTTTTTTTACTACTGGTTCACCTGAGCCAACAGCATTTATTACTACCGGTGCAGGCAAACCAGTCCAAACTGGTAGCATTTCACCCCTGGCCTCAACGTAGCAGTGGTGGGATGGATTCGCCCTTCAGAAGCTCCATTTCGGTTAGCAATATGCCAGGCGAGGCCTACAGAGGCCTGGACAGGACTGCAGAAGGGCGCATGTGGCTGAGAGACTAGAGAGGAGACTGTTTGCTAGATCTTCAAAAGGTAAGTGACCTGGCGCGGCAGGTTGGGTGAGAGGGGAAGAATATGTGGGAAGCATGAGGTATTTCAGTGGGTTGGGGAGGCCTTAGGTAGCCTGTTCCATCACTAGCCCCCCCCCCATGGCTTTCCCCACCCTGAAATACCTCATGTGCACTTAACGAGCCTTGCATCAATACTTGTGAAAATCCTGGAAAAGATAAT